TATTCTTACCGTATACGAATTACATAATATGAAATAATATTCTTATAAGTAAATTTTAAATTAAAGAAATACAAACGTAAAGTCATATGTGTAGTTCCATTTAAAGATTATGTCAATGTAATTGATTATATCATATTTAACATAGAATATAATATGTTTTATTTATTATATTCGTATAGTCAGATAGAACATATAAAGGAAAAAGGAACACAGCAAGATAACAATAATCATAATAGAAATAGCATGGTAGGGAACTCGATCTATAGTATTGCTTTGGAATCCCAAAACTCTGTGGCCATGATTTTATCGGCTGATGGAGTGACTTTGAACTTCTTGGGGGGTCTGATTACTTCTTATGCCATTTCGTAGACTCCTGTTTACCTCAAGTTTATAGCGCTGAACCCATGTTTAATTTTCTGTAACTATTCTATTGAAAACACTTGTTGGGTCGTCACCACCCGCTCTAAAAACTCCCTACAGCAGTCAACTCGGTGCGGGTTGACTGTTGTGAAACGAAGTGAGCATTCACGGTATCCATCCTGCACTAACTATTGTGAGGTTGAGATAGTTATGCAGTATGGTGTGTATGGTACCAACGGATTGGTTAGTTATTTCTTCTTATATCTCAACTCTTTCTCGTGTATCGTCTAACACAAATTTTCCAATAACTTTCACATTTTCTTCTGTAGCCACTGTGATTGGCCCACCCGGGCGTGGATCATTTCCGATGCTATCCCTGCCTCTTTTGAATTCACTTGAACACTTCTGCATGGTTGTCATTGAAGGAGCAGTGTTAACAAGCGGTCACCATTTCTTCATGCATGTTCTTTTGAGGCTTTCCTTGTTTAGTGAGGAATTTAATCACTGCACTGTGTTCGATTTTTTTCAACATTGTCGAGTAAGTCATTACTTTCGTGTACGACTGAAGGTTACATAAGAAATAATGACAAGTTATGAAGATGAAATTTAATATTTATACCCTCAGGTAGGTAATGCATTTTTTAATTAACTCACATTGTTAGCAAATAACCCTAATACCGAGAATACATGAAAGCTCCTCGTATATCTATACTTGATTAAGAATGAAAATGAAGATGCGTGGTCACCCCTGAGGGCTAAGATGGAACGCCTCGTTTCTGGTAAAAATAGCCGCTCCTATACACTCACCATACAAAACTCAGCAGCATCAAACGGCAATTTCAGGCTGATATTCTGTGAGAGCATGGCAGGCGTAGGATAGTTGCCTTGGACCACAAAAAATTAATTGAGAATGGCGTCATCCATAATTTGTTTCGAAAAAAATTATGTTTATAATTGATCCCATGGCTTACTAGCTACTTACAAAAACTTATTTTTAATTAGTGCACAAACATTTATTGTTGATTTTATTAAT